CCTTATTCAACAAGTCGTTATTCAGGTTTTATTCTCCAATAAAATTGGTATTGCTGTATTAGTAACATCCCAATAACATTCCCATTGTTAGAATGGCATCACTCTTTTCTATTAAGTGACTTTCCTCCAAAAAAAGTTAGTTTCAAAATTTTGATTAGTGTTCTTTATTTCCCACAACCTCATTCTCTTTTCCATAAAGAAATAAACAAAAGATATCTCTCACAAAAGATAGCTCAGGATCTGTTCTTTTCCCAGTATACCTTTCAAACCACTTCTCAGGGGAAAAAAAAAAAGCTTTTAAGTAGCAAAAGTACTAAATACCTATGAAAATACAAGAATTTTCTTATATAACCTGCAAACCTTCTTAGATATGAAGATAATTGATATAATTAAACTGTCCAAATAATTCAACAATAATACATCAGCTTAGGGAAAATCAAAGTAATTTTCCATTCTCTGTTTCAGTAGCAAAAAGGTGGTTATTTTTATGGTACATAATATTTAACCTTTATGATAACAGCGTATCTTCTAAGTGACTACTTAGTTACAGAGCTTTACTTAGACTTTTAGGCCTCACAGTAATACTATGTTTATAACTGCCAGTGAAATTAAAGCCTATATTGGTAAGGGGATAAATTCTATTTCATGTTTATATCCAGTGGGCTCCAGAAGAGTACAAATGAATGAAGTCTCTTGTTCACCACTATATTCTTAGCACTTAAATACAACAGATGCTCAATAGATGTCTAAGTTTAAATTCTTATTTATTAAAAAGAAAATTAGGTTGAGGGAAATAAAAAATATATGAATCAAAATTGGGTTAAGGCCTAGGGCATGGGCAGTGCTTAGTGATTTGCTTCCAGAGCAGAATATGGAATGGGTGGGCCTGGGGGTGAAACCTGGCAAACAAAGACCTCAAACAGGTGATCAAGGTTAATACAATGTTATCATATTGTTAGTATGTATGTACCTTTGATATAATGTGATAAAATGTCACTTTACCTTTGTTGTCTTTAAAAAAAAAAAAAGGCACGCTTAATGATTTTAGAGAGGGGGGATGGGAGGCAGAGAGGGAGAGAAACATGATGTGAGAAACATCGACTCGCTGCCTCTTCTACACACCCCGACTGGAAACTGAACCAGCAACCCATGTATATGCCCTAACTGGGAATCAAACCCACCACCTTTTGCTCTAAGGGCAATGCTGCAATCAACTGAGCCACATCCGCCAGGGCTCACCTCTGTTGTCTTGCTCCCTAAAACCCATGACCCCAGTCTAATCATGAAGAAAACATCAAACATATCTCAAATGAGGGATGTTCTATAACATTTTGACTAGTACTCCTCAAAACCATCATAGTTATCAAAAATAGGAAAAGTATGAGAAACTGGAATTCTGAAACAGAAATAGGACACTATGGGAAAACTAGTGAAATCTGAATGATGCGGTTTAGTTAATAGTAATGTAGCAAGCAATTCTGTTTCCTTAGTTGTGACTAATGTACCATGGAATAATGTAAAAAGTTAACAGGAAAAACAGGATGGAGTATATACTGTGTACTTTTGGTAAATGTAAACTATTCTAAAAGAAAAAGATTCTTTAAATTAAAAAAAGTTAAAGTAAGAGAAGGAATACTTGAATCAAAATCCCTTGGAAGCAAATGATAACACTCTTTTGGTCCCTTTATATTTAGCAGTAAGACAGACAACAGTCTCATACAGTGGAGATAAAGTTATTAATAAAACAATATCATAGGTATTATACAAGCCTACAGTATTAATTATGAAGTCACATATGGACAAAGCAAATACCCCTTGAATTCTACTTTTCTAAAATATCATTCTTAGTCCTCAACATTTCAATTAACTAACTCTACGACAAAAATTCATAATGTTAGCTGTCAGCTCTACATTGACTGAACTATCTTACACCTTTAACTTCTAGTCACTAAAGTTCAAATTCACCTTGATAGCTCTCATCACTTTACACTCAACTAAACTTACCATCTTCTTTGTGATGTTCCCCTTCTACATCTCCTTCTCAAAGTTATTTAGAACTAAATAACTCTATATAACTCTAATAAAGTTATTAGAACTAAAGTTCCTATAGGTTAGTACAATGCTCTCTTTCCCACTCCTCTTCATTCCCACCGTTAATAACTAGTCCTGTACATGGCTATTAAATGAACCTTCCTCAAATAAGGGAATTATCATTCCCAGGCTCAAATGCCATCTTTCTGGGGGACTAAACCATATTTAAATTCAGAAGTGATGTCTTCAAGGCCATCCATAATTGGTTATTCTTTTGTTCCACCTCACTTGTAAAGAAAGACCTTTCTATCATTTTTCCACCTCATACGATAAGTCCTGCCTTTCCTTTAGTCAGAAAATAATCAAATATTCACTAAGAAGATAACACTCTTCTGGGTAGTTGACTTTATAATCTTCTTAGGATGATAAAATCTAAACAGATAACTAAAACAAAGGATATGGGAATTTGTCTGTTCAAAGCTGTATCGTCAGTTCCTAGTGTCTGCCACGTGGTAGGTATGGAAAAAACATTGATTAAATAAATGAAAACAAGGTGGTACAGAATATTACAGCCGAAAAGTAGTATATACTACTAGGGAAGAGATTTTTGGTTGGCGAGATAAAGGCAGGTATAAAATTGTATTATTCTAAGGCTCTCAAGGCAATCGAAATTTCAACCAAGCTTCAACCTTGAGTAGATCTTCTGTAGTTAAGAGGATGTGTGCAAGTGTATTTCAACAGAAAAATGTCATATCAGCAAAGGTAAAAAAGAAGCAAAATTGGTATACCATGCTGAACTAATGAATAAAAAGTTCCTATAGGTTAGTGGAAGATAAGATTGAAGAAGACAGGAACCAAAGATTGAAAAGTCTTCAGAAGAAATTTGGTTCTCATGTTTCATATACAGGGTTTTGGTCATTAGAGCAATATAATCTTCAGGAGGATTAATCTAATGGGAGTAAAATAAAGGTTGACCTTTAGAAAGCAAGAGCCTTATTTCTTCAAGAAGCTTCCCGTATCTTTTCAAACCCCCTAGTTTTCTTCTCCTCTTAACTCTTACAGAACCTGCCTGCATCGTACAATTTATCTCCTAACCATATCTTCTCACATTATAAGCTCTTATTTTCATGTGTGTTAATCTAGTCTCTTCAACCTAAGAATAGGGATCAAATCTTATACCTCTTATCTTCCCTAATAAATCAGCAAAGTATTGGCCTTTCAAAACTTTGTTTTTGGAGGACCTTTTTGCATTTATGCAAAACCCAGTTATTAAAATAACAACAGTTTAAAAGCAACATACATGTGGCTAAGCCATAAACTGTTAGGATGGCATTTTTAAGTTTCACTTGATAGATCCCATAACTAATAATGTATACAACAATTAGCTTGCAGTGTATGTTTTCAGTGCTTTCTGTTTTATATAAGTATATCATAACCTCATTTCCTTTTCTTTCTCACCTAAGCATGGGCACACATGCTCATTTCTCAGTCTCATTATCTTTTCTGCACTAAAGACTCTCTGATATTTTTACCTGTTAACCTCATTGATTAAGGACCATTGTTATGGTGTAATTAAAATTCTAATAAGTTTTACCATAATTTCTCTACACATCCTAAATGTTTACTGTGGTTTATCACTCTTCAAGTAAAACCAATTCAAAATAAAAACATATGTTATAGAAATAATTCAAATCCACCAAAGTATTCACAAAATGGAACATGATGCATTAGTAATCAGGGATTGTACTTAAACTCTAAAATTTTCCAAACACTACAAAAGTTTGGATATTTAAATTTTTAATCTTTGACATTTAATTTTTACATAGTCTAAAAATTAAACTTCATTCCTTTAAAATAAAATCCATTTGTTAGCATTCATATCTTTTAATACCTTCCTCCCAAAAAGCTTCAAAAAGTGTACCTACAGAAATCAAACGACTATTTATTTCATCCCTAAACAAGTATTTTCAATGGTAATATATACATTTCAAGTCACGACTTTTAGGTAAAAATAAACAGATTTTTATAAAACTATCAAAAAGAAATCCCCCAGAATGTGATTATTTCTGATTATGTCAGAACCTCTCATTAGTGGCTTTGAAATTCAAATGATTTCCCCCCAACCCCAGTTGGAAAACTCCATAATGTACCATTCTATTCCCAACCAATCTTTAATGGTATCTAATACTGCTGAGATTTTTAAAAAGAATCATCAAAAAAGCAAAGGAGGGCAAAAATGTCAATATGTACCTTACAAGGACTGCAAGGAAACAAGTTAAGTCTTATGATGTGGACAAATCCAGTTCAACTTTTTCCACTTCCGCACCCAGAAAACACCAAAATAAATGTGGATGCAAAGCTACAGCACGGTTACAAAGCCCCTGGCTGCTAGTGAAGCCTCAGCCCTGGTGGCGCTAGGGCAATCTCTTACACTCAGACGGCCACGTGGCTGTCACAATTAGAAGACAGGAGAAACAGCGTAAACTAACCTGAAACAACTGCCCTCCTCCCCCATGTCGGAGTTCGGGTAGCAGAAAGCATGTGACATTTCTTTGCATAACTTTTTTCCTGTAAGGAGAAAACTAAGTACAGAGGCTGCTTTAAAGAGACTTTAAATTGAAATCGGGTCAAAAAAGATCCCGAGAGTGTGCCCTCAATGAGTTGGAATACCTCAGAACCGTGAGCTGCGGTGAGAAGAGGCTTTCGGCTAAAAGGTAAAAGGGGTGGAGTTGTGTAAGACCGAGCACTGAGCACATGGGTTGGTTTACTCTGACTCCCACCACCCTCCCAGGTTCCAGACTCACTGCCGCTGCCGAGGGGCGAACTGAGAAGGCTGAAATGCCTCGCGCACGCCCTCAAACCTCACATCCAGGAGGGAGGACTAAAGAACAGAGTAACCTCGGCCCCCAGACAGCAGGCGAACAGGAAGTGTCCATATTGCAGCGCTGAAACGCAAACTCCCATCCTACCTAGACAGCCACCTTCAGAGGCCCCCAGGGCGCCCGCTGGAGATACCAGAGGGCGTCGGGGTCGGCCACCCCCACATCCGGGACCCGAACTTGTCCGTCCAAATGCCCCGCCACGCAGCTGCCCGAAGTTCACTCCTGACGGCGCCCAGCGCCAGCGCCTTCACCGACACTACTTGGCCGGGCCCAGCCAGAGTCCGCCTGGGGCTCGACGAGGACTCCACGCTCGCACGTCTCACTCCACCACAAGCCAGAGAAGGGGGTGTTGCAAAGACTCCCCGGGGGGCTTGGGGCAGACACTTCCTCGAAGAGCAGATTCTCCCTGAGTCAAGCCCGAAGCGTCCTCCGAGCCTTTCGGGAGAGACGGCACCGCTCGCCGCAGTTTCCTCAGCGCGACACCAGCTCCCGGGTGGTCGATACCTTTCAGGAAAAAACTCCGAACTCCTCACAGGGCTGCACTCTCCTCAGTTCGACACCCCGCTGGAGCCCACACACAATCTAAGCCACGCGCTGCGGAGACCCCCTAGCCAGCGTCAAAACCTTAGGACAAAAATGTCCGGGCGCGTCACGGGACAGCTGCCTCCGGGCCCCACGCCCGGCCCAGCCACACGCGCTGCCTCTGTGCCCAGGAGCTGCGCGGCGATCCGGGGCTGAGAGCACGGAAGCCGGGCGGCGCCGGCCAGGGAGGGCGGCGTTCCGCCCCGGACTCACCCTCAGCTCAGCCGCCACAGCGAGGAGGCAAGAGGCGGGTAGGGGGAGACACAATATGGCAGAGCACCGCAGCTACCGCCGGCAGCTAGCTTCCAGCAACCACCTCCGGGAAGACACGGCAACGAGAAGGCAGCGGCAGCTGCGGTGGCGGCCCGGGCAGCACCACATCCCCCTCCCGCCTGCTTCCTTCAGCTCCCTCCGCCCCCGCTGCCATGGCAACGCGGCGCCTAGGAGATTAGCCCCGCCCTCCCCTCCCGCTCCACCTCCCTCGTCTTTTCTGGAGGGGTGCTCGGTCTGCCCCTTTCCGTCCCCTCCCACCTCCTACAGAAGGGCCAGCCGGAGGCCGCCAAGAAAGACAAGTAGAGGAGGAAGGGCTGTCCGGAAGGGCGGGGCTCACACGGAAGGTAGGGCGGAGACTTGGTGGGCCACTGCGTGTTCGAGCTGAGGAGGGGCTGGAGAAGGCGGGAAAATGGAAAGGCCCTGTCTGTCTTGAGAAGGACCTATAGGAGTGTGGCGGGGCGCGGCGCAGCCGCTGACTGGCGGAGGAGTCGTGAGGGCGGGGCGAGGGGGGTGGCCGTCCCAGCCCGTCGGACCGCGGTGTCGACTGCAACGACAACCCCCAACAACTTTAACTTCTGTAGGTTTCCCCAAGAGCTTTCCGCCAATGGCTAGGCTTTTTGAAAGCGCTATAGAAACGATAAAGCATTAATATAAACTTAATCATCACCCTTGTTGACTGAAATTTTGTGTGGAAACTGAGCTCAGCGTATTCGTGGTAAAAAAAAAAAAGACTTTGGAATCAGAACCAAAATTTAATAAGCATAGCATTTACAGAGTGCTCACTAACAGCTCGGGACTGGGCTAAGTCCTTTACATGCATAACGGTAGTGCTGACATGGTGTTGCCAGCTAAAATTATAGGAGTGCTCCATTACATCTGAATTTAAGGGAAAAGTAGAATAATTTTTTAATATAAGAATGTTCCATTTGGGATATTCTTTCTGATTTGTTTGTTAGATCTGCCAACCCTATCCTAACTCTTACAAATTCCCACTTTACAGATATGGAAACTGAGACTTAGAAAAATAACCTGTCAGATATAAAACAAGTGGCTCTGTTTTATGATACCAATAATTAATATCTATATCCACATCTTCAAAAACTAGAGTAGTGATAGTACCTCACAAATGTATTGAATGGGTTAAAAGAAAAAGTATATGAAACAGACCGGGACTGTGACTGATGCACAGGAGGTGCTAATAGAGGTTTATTTCCTTCCTGAACAATGAATGTTAACTAGATATTCACTATGTGTCAAGCTGTGAGTATAAGTGAGCTGATATGGAACAAGCTACCTACTGACGATAAGACAAGTCAAGCTGTGGGGATGACAGAGATACAGAAGAAGTATAGGCATCAGGATATATAAAAGTACGAGTGGAAGTTTGAGACCCTTGTTCTACAAATGAAAACGCAGTATTTATATGATTTGTCCAGAGTTTTCTGTTAGTTCCATATGTTTTTCATTACACTGCCCTGAAGGGCCTCATGGCTGCATTCAGAGTAAGAGACCACAAGACAAATACGCGATGCCCTTCAACTGAAATGGGAGATACTTCATTCTCTCCAGAACAATCACTGTTGTCCCCTCATATGGACAAACTGAAGGAAGTCCCTGTAGTAGAAAGGAAGCTGAGGAAAGAAGGAAGGGAAGATTGAGAGAAGGTAGCTTCTGGAGAACCACAGCCTCCTCAGACCTCAGTCTTGTTTTTATGTCTGCTGGCCATTGTAATGGTGGTCCTTAGCATAATACGGGTCTTCATCCTCTTACTTGCACATAAGAGTTTTCGAAAGTAGGTTTATAGTTGCATTATGACATTCTCTGAGTTAATAAAGGTACCGTGATAATCATAATCTGCATGTCTTTTTCCATACAAACAATTGTAAACCTACTTTTGCCCACCCCTGCATTGAACTTTAGCTTCTCTTTTTCCTTCTAATCAATTTTAAACTCAGGTGGGCAAATAGTCCCCATCAACTCTAGAAGAATGATAGAATTTGAGAGCTGGAAGTTATATATATTTTAGAGGTATGTCATCCAGGAGCCATATCTATCATGGATGAGAAAACAAATCCAGAAAAAGTGTGTAACTTGTCCAAAGCCACATAATGGAGCTACAACATCTTCATCCACTAAGTTCTTTGTACTGATTCTTTCTGCTCACTGACTCACCCTAGAGAGGCTGAGCCCATTTAAATAATCTCTGTGGGTGAGGCTCATTCAGGTCTCTTAGGAAATCTGTCACACTTCGTTTAGAGTTCAGGGGCACTTGTGTAGTTAGAGGCTTTTTTAGAGGACTTTGAACACCCACCAAGGAAGAGCTCTGATTAAAAATAATGATGATTCAACATAAATGGCTTTCCCCAGAAGTTTACAATAGTAAAAAGGCTAGGAAACCAGAACTTAACTCTTCAGGAAAAAGAGGATCCTGGCATTTAGGTTTCTTGCAAAGCTATTGTTAGTTTCCAAAACCTTTAAAAGAACATATTTAATAGTAAACTTCATTGGAAGACAAATGCATTAGAGAATACATTGTTTAGCCCTGGCTAGTGTGGCACAGTGAATTGAGTGCCAAACTGCAAATCAAAAGGTCACTGGTTCGATTCCCAGTTACAGCTCATGCCTGGGTTGCAGGCCAGGTCCACAGTAGGAGATGCATGAGAGACAACCACATGTTGATGTCTCTCTCCCTTTCTTTCCCCCTCCTTAGTCCTCTCTGAAAATAAGTAAGTAAAATCTTTTTTTAAAAAAGAAAATACACTGTTTAAAATGCTCTCATGTTTAGGCTGAAAGGTGATAGGAACTCAAATATATATGTTTAAACTTTAAACATATTGATCATTGTATTACATGCATTTAATAAAAGAATTTTTATCGTGAATTAATGATTCTAAAAATAACCAGTTTACCAATCAGGAATCTAGACTTTTAGTCCCCTGAAGTCAATGACCATGTCTTTTTCAGCTTTCTGGTCTAAATTCTTAGAACAGCTTTTGGAATAGAGGTAATGTTCAATTCCTGTATTCTTATCAGTAAAAGTATTCTTGTTGGTGAAAGAAGTAGCTTTCCTCAAATTACATGGTACAAGGACTACCATATAACATTTCTAAATACTGATCTGCCACCTGGGCAAAAAAAAAAGTAGAACTGTGAATTAAAATCTATGTTTTTTTCCTTTAAGTATTTTTTTCATTGTATGCCCTAAAAGCAACTACCTATATTTAATAATATCTACATTTCCATAAACCCTGGTATTGGCAGTAATATGGATCAATCCTCCTACTGAGGACACTAAAAAAACTCAACAAAATATAAAAAAATACCATATCAAGGCATCAGAGAGCTTACAAAATAGGAATTACCAGGCCATGACCTGAGGAACAGTGGAAATCCAGGAAGGTCCATTTTCCTTTCCATAGAAAGTTGCTGAGAGAATGAATGAACAGAGATGGGGGCTGGCAATTGGAGTTCAGGGTGTGTTAAGGGATGGGGGCAGGAGAACTCTGTTGAAGCCCCATTGCTTTGGATTGGAAATCCAAATGGCTACAATTGAAGGGGCTATGACTATTTTAAATCAGCTCAATTCCAAGATTAGATGTAGGTGATTTGAGTTTGTGCCCTCAAGCACTTGGCAGAAGCAAACTAATATTCTATTATATGTAGAGGAAAGTAATATCATCATTTATATAAATAATGTTACAAATACAATGTCTAGTACATAGTAAGAAATAATTAGTCACCCAAGGAAACAAGAAAAACATAGCAGAAATACCAGAGAACAAAAACAGACCCCAGAGGGATTTGGATAGTGAAATTATCAAACAGTTTTCCCCTTCTAATTTTGGAATTTTGATCCTTGGGAAGAAAATAAAATAAAATCTCAAGTTCAATGAGAGCTTAGTTCATTACATTACACTGAAGAAATAAATATTACATTGGCCTTATGCTGTCTTCAAGCATATATTTAAAGAGGTCTTTCTTGTATTAGTTTTCCTGTCACTTCAGTTCCTTTATTTATGTATGTTTAATGATTTTTTCCTGTTAAACTACTAAAAATATGGAGATATTTTGCACTTTAGCCTTGATGAAAAGTACACAATATGTTCAAAGCTTCCCCAATATTTTTTTGTTGGTAGCTATGTAAGTTAAGAATAATATGGCACAGAACCAACAATGGGAAAAAATGTTTGCTTTTGTTTTCAAAGTGTGTTTAGCATTTTGGGTTGCCATATATCAGTTTATAAATTTGCTGCTCTGCTAATTACATTCTAGAAAAGCAAATTAACAGAGCTTGAGACCTACCCTTATATGCAGTAAAAGATAATTCTGTATAAGAATATCAGCCAGTAGGATAAAAGTCATTCTACTCTTCTTAATTTAGTTTTACATTGAGAGACAGTGTTTGCTATTTGGACTCAGAAGGCTTTATGATGACAGGTCAGAAATAAGATGGACTTCTGTGTTACTTTTCATCCCTGTTCTGTATTTAGTTATGTTTCCAATTTTATATTATCACAGTAGTCACAAAGACATGTTTGCATTGAGAAATTAACCCTAAAGGGTTTTTATCTGTCATTTTTGACAGATTGGAGTCAGCTTGATGTTTTAAATCTTCAGCCCAATATGAAAACTTAAAGGCTCATTCAACATTTTAACATTTTACTGAAAATACTAAAATTTGCTTTTACAGGGTTTTTTTTTTTGGGGGGGGGATAATCTATGCCATGAAATTTAGAAACCACTGAAAATCAAGAAACATTTTGTACTCAATTCCTTTTTCTGGTGCTATATTACATTGTATAGATTATTAATGCATGTCCATTCAGTATAACCATGGTTTTGTGATATAACTGTTCAGATTTTATTGGAGACATTAGATTAGTAG